TAATAGAGAAGACATGGTCTATTGTAGATCGACCTGCATGAAAAACAACCTGTTCTTCGGCTTCCATATCTTGGTATTCTTCTTCTATTCGATTTTTATTATTTTCCCATATATTCTGCTAATACTACTAGTATCTGCAATTTCTCTAAGTTTTCAGGTTTCGATTTATCTCCCTTTTTATAGATGGTGCTCATATGCGATTCTTTCCATTCTCCAGGTATTTCATGTTTATTTAAGTTGTTGTAGCCGTTGAATTAGTACCTTGGGTCCATGTTTGATGAGTTATGGAGCTACATTTCCTGGGCCAGGTGATATGCCATTCTTTAGATGTCTGGATACGGTTTTGACTTCTCTTTCATTTATTTTAATTGGCGATCCTATCAGCCTGTCGCCTTGTAGACCTCTAGCTGTTTGAAGGGCTCTCTTGTGTCTATTAGTAAATCTTTAAAGTATTCTTCACAAGTTTGCGGTGATATGGACTGGATAATATCTCTTTTTCTGTTATTTATTAAAGTTTCCAGCTTTCTGAACTTTGGCTTTAACCAATGTACGTATATAGCAAGGTGCACTTTTTTTCCCAGGATTCATTTTTCTTTTGGCATATTTTTTTCCTAACTATCGCTTGCATTCTTTTGTATTCGATTCTGTCTTCCACATTTTTTGTGTTCAGATATTTTTGATACAATTTTCTTTTCTGTGTTATTTCCTGCGAAACATCTTGATCCCACCAATATGGTTTTTGTTGTCCGATCTTTTCATATCGCCCTAGTGCTTCTAGGGCAGCAGCATGTATACATTATTTGATGCTTTTGTATAACTGATTAACATTCCTGGTATTATCTTCCGTTTCAATTAGTTTTTGTTCCAGTCTACGTTTATATAGGTTTCTAACACTTTCTTGGTGTAAACTTTTCAAATTGTATCGTACTTCTTGAACTTGCTTCTTTGTATGGTTGTCTTGCGGCGTTTTCTGTTCTCTTTTATGTGGAAATGAAATATCTGAACGTAGGAGGTAGTGGTCATTGCCGCAAGTGGGTTCTCTACATGCTCTTACGTCTGTTGTTTTCAGTGGACTTTTTTGTTTGAGATTTACATAGTCTATAACTGATTTTAAGTTTCGGGTTACCTGAGTCCACGTATATTTATGAATGTTTCTATGTTGGAAATATCCTGATCGCACATATGTATTAACCTTTCTCCATTATTGTTCGTATTATCTTCTCCATATCTACTTACTACTTTATCGTTGTTCTTTTTTCCGACTCTGCTGTTTAGGTCTCCCAAGATTATTATTTCTCTTGTGTTACCCACCTTTGTGATGCTATTCTTTTCTATTTTATATATAAATACAATCTTTTATTCTTCCGCCATGATTTCTTCCTTCCATATAATTGTAACCTAATTAATGTTTGTTTTTGTAAGCAATTCACCAGCATACTAAGAAAATCTTACTTTTTAATTTATGTTTATTTCCTTAGTCTCTTTATTTTTAATAATTTTATTTAAAAACGAAGTATTTTAATGCAGAATCTATGTTTTGAAAAGAACTTTTAAAAGAAAGTTTTTAACTTAATTAGTTATTCTCAAAGTAATTATAATTCAGATTCGTTTCTGCCTTTAAAAATCAAACTTGAAGTAGCGGAAGTCTTGAGAAAAAAAGTAAAAAAGTCATGAGTTTGGAAATGGCATGAAAAATCCTTTTAATCTTACTAATAATTCTAAATTTATAACTTTCTGCTGTATAAAAACTATAACTTGAAAAAGTTTTGGACACGGTGTCTTCGCTAATGGAGATAATTTAGTTGAGTAATGTTGTATAGGTAATTTGGACAATTTTTAAAACGATCTTTTACAATTCTATTTATGTCAGCGTTTATTTCGTCTTTGTGCTTTAAACTCACTATTTTCATGTTATAGATTCCGACTGAACGGTTTCTTGATTACTCTTAAGAATATGATAAAAACGTACCATTGGAGTTAGTTTTTCATTACATATTTTTTTACTCATATCATTTTAAATCAATTATTAGTTTCTTAACATTATTTCTATGGGCAAAAATAACAATAATAGGCACATACGGTCCGAATGATGATGCACGCTCAAAAGAATAAAATACTATTAAGTCCTAGATGAAACTATTTCTCAAATAGGTCAAACAAGGGAAACTATTATACTAGGTGACCTCAATGCAAGAACTGGTAGAAGAATAAACGATAGAACAATAGGACCGTATGGAGAAAACACTACAAACGACAATGGCAATAACGTAATAGAAATGTGTAGACACAACTCACTGAAGATCATGAATGGGGACTTCAAACATAAGGAAATACATACATATACATGGACTCAGCCTACAAAAAACTTAAGATCAGTAATTGATTACCTAATAATGAAACAAAAATCTAAAATAAAAGTGCATGACGTAAGAGTGTTTCGAGGAGCCGAATGTGAAAGTGACCACCATCTAGTAAAAGCCAAAATGATACTACCTCTAAACGCTAATGGTAAACAAACACAAAATAAAAATCTAATTGAAAATCACTCAGCAAAGTTGAACAACTGCAGTACAATCTAACAAGTTTAGACAACTATAGTACTAGAGGATTGTATAAAAAAAGATTAGAGCAACAACTACCACAGGAATTTAAATATTACAATTACAACAGAAGAGTTACATCGAATAATAAGAAAAGGAATACATCAAGCGGTCAAAAAGCATTAGGTATAAGAGTAAACAAACTCAGAAAGACAAATAATTGGTAAAATGATGAACTACAACAAATGAAAGAACAAAAGCAAAAATTATATCACAGATATATGGGAACAGAGGATCTAGAACACAAAAAAAATATAGAAAAATGGTAAATAAATTTAAATCCACGATAATATCCACGAGTCAAAAAATGGGAAAGAAAATGTAAGGAATTAGATACGTACATTGAAGGTCGCAAATCAAGAGTATCCTGGAGTTTTATAAAAAAAAACATCAGATCCAACAAAACAGAACAAATAGCCATATACTCCATAGAGCCCAAAAATGGGAAAAACACTATAAAACACTGTTAGTAGAAGAAAGGCCGGAATACAAAAACATAGAATAACATAAAGTCCTGATTCAAGGAGAGCCACCAACAATTAACATCGAAGAAACTAAAAAAGCTGTATCATTGTTGAAAAATGGACGTGCTCAGGGTCCAGAGGGGATATATGCAGAGTTAATAAAAAATAGAACCAAAAAACTATTCGAGATACTAACAGAAGTTTAGCAGAATTATAAAAGAACGCATCTGAAAGAATACCGTTCTTTTGAATCAGAATAACAAAACAGATTCAGATCAGGCCGATCCACAAATGATGGTATTTCTCGGTTCTCTCAAATACTCGGGAAAAGAAGACTGAGATCTCGAGAAGTGCATTTACTGTTAGTAGATTTAACAAGAGCGTATGACACCGTGCCTGTTGCGAAATTGTGGGAAGTAAAAACCAGTATCACCGTTCCACTAATCGACGCTATTAAAGATCTATATACCATCACAATATTAAAAGTTAAAATAAGAAATAAGGTTTCTAATGGATTTCAGGTAACAAAAGGACTGAAGCAAGATTGTTGTTTATCTCCCAAACTATTCAATATTAGTTAGTTAGTTAGTTATTGCCCAAGACAAGGAAGACCTGGAGTATATGGATAGAAAACTAATGGAAGAGTACAAAAAATGGGGCCTCGAAGTAAGATTACAAAAAACGCAATATCTTTGCATAGGAGGAGAAAATATTACAAATAACCTCGACTTAGAAGACAAGAAAATTAAGAAATGCGATCAATGTATATATTTGGGGGTAAAACTAACAAAGACAGGAAGAACTGATGAAGCTATAAAATACATGTATAGGTGCTTTGAATTCAGTACTGTGGCAGAAAAATCTAAGAAAGAATATATAATACCATATTGAAACCAGTAATCTTCTATGGCTCAGAAGTATGCCAGTTATTACAAAAATTTAAAGATAACCTAATGGAAGTTGAAGTGGATTTTTGGAGGAGAGCAGAGGGAAAGTCGAGATTAGAACATGTGAGAAATGAGGACATAAGGAATCAAATGAATTTATAAAGATCAATTATAGAAGACATCGAAAAAAAACAACAACTAATATGGTACGGACATGTTAGACGTATGGGGGAAGGAAGACTACCAAAAAAATATATTAGAATGGGTACCACCAGAGAAAAGAAAACGAGGACGACCACTAACAAAATCGATGCAAGGAATTTAAAAAGCAATGTCAGCAAGAAATCTATCTGAAGAAGACTGGCAAAATAGACAGGCTTGGCGAACGGTAACCCAAAGCCAGGTTACGCTATGAACGGGATATCTACGTGCATAAATGGCGTACTGTATCAAATTACCGAATATGGGGTCATTTTCTTTAAAAGACTGTCCCTGCTACTGGTATCAATATTTTTGTACAGCATTAACTTACCAGTGAAGGCACCTCTGCCTTAAAAAATGGACATCATAGTCTTTTAAGGTATTACATATTGTAGTATTGGTTTATATGTGATTCATATTGGGTCAAATGACCCTTTAAAAGTATCCCGTGGGCTTGTAATCTATAATTATTTTATGAATTTTTCCTCGTCAATCATGTATCATCAATAAAATATGCTTTTTGATATAACTTTTAATTTATTTTCCATATTTTTTTATTTTCTTCTTGATCTTTTTATGTGCCAATTATTCTAATTTGCTTATTGATCTCCCTAATAGTGAGTTGAATTTAAGGTCACATATATCATATATCTTATCTTTTGGTAGATGTTTTACACATGCGTTACGAAATTACCTACACAATATTACTCCACCAATGTGTTGTTACAAAATAAAACTTTTTAAACCAAAGCGCCGCCTCAAAACTTTTTCGAATAACTCCTTTAAATGACTAAAAACTACTCCTAAAAAGTGTATTTGGTGTGATCTGTATTTTTGTTGAATGCCAGACGTGGAAAAAGGATGTTCTTCTCATGCTAATGGTTGTGATGGTACCACAGGTATAAGACCACCTCTTTACTTTAGTGTCAACTTAGAGCATGCTCAACGTTCGTTAAGTGTCTAGTGAACTGTTGTTGTCTGCCTGATGTTCTAGCAGATTTTTGTGTGTTAATTGTAACAATTGATATTAATAATTGTAATAATTTTTGTTTAAATTCTAACGATAAATCAAAACACGTATTTTCGTAGACGTATTTCTAGCTTGCCGTAATTATCAAAATAAATGTGTTTGTATAAAAATGTGTTAAGTTTTAGTGATTGAACTAAGAATTAATAATTGGTAGAATGAAGGAAATTCAGATAAAAATAAATTATTATCAATGGATAGCCCGAATCATTGTATTTTCACTGGATCAAATACTGAATACATTATTACTTCAAAATATGGGTAATAATAATAAAAACTTTATAGCCTATTAATAAGTTGAACGAATATAAATTGTACATATCCATTTACTACCTTTAAACTCATGAAACTCAACAGAATTTTATGAAACTTCGTATGTATTTGTCGAGTTACTAACTCGGTAATTTCTGAATACTTAAAACCAAATTGCATATTTGACATGTGTAATATAAACAAATTTTATAGTCTTTTGTAAATGGAACAAAACAAAGATATTAAAGCAGAAAATGGCCGACGCATATATTTGTTCTTGTAAAACTCAAAACTCTATGTTTTATTTGTGGGTATCAATAACTAACTGCAATGGAATACTTACGATTACTTACTTTTTTATTCGGTATACTGTCGAGAAATCTGCAACTGGTATATTTATACATATAAATGTCCTTGTATTCTGAGTGCGGAAGTGTTCCATTTACCGGCTCAGTTCTTTAGATGAAGTTGTGTCTTCATTTAAAATTCTTCACGCGATGAAATAATAACTCTACAATGCAAATAAAATCATTTCTATTTGCATTTCCACAAACATTATTATTAAAAATACAGTTCTGCTAAAAACAATTACTTTTCGATAAAATTTTACGAAAAACAGAATTATTCCACTGGATATTTCAAAGTTAGGATAAAAAACCACCTTTTGAATATCCCCGTATAATAAGTCTAATACAAAATTTTATTAAAAATCTAACTATATTAAATTAAAGTATATAAATTTTTACTTAGCGTGCTAAAAAAATCATCGAAATAGGGCTAAAAATAAAAAACTGACATACTTTGAATTTGACCAAAATTTTTCTTCATGTCCATCGGAGTGTAGATGTATTTTTTTTTTGATATTTATTGAGAAAAAAAATATTTTTTTTATTGCAAAATTTTCCTAATCACTGTTTCATTAGAATACATTATACATTTTGACTTTAATGCCAAAGTTGGCCAGGAAAGAGTGGATGTATAAATGTATATGTGGAGGAATATGCCCTAGGAAATAGAAATGAACGTGGTGACCGTTTGATACAATTTTGCCAGACAGAAGAATTTGTAATAACTAATACACTTTTTAAGCTACCAAAAGGAAGATTGTGTACATGGAAATCTCCCGGAGATATAACGAATAGAATAATCCGAAATCAAATTGACTTTGTCCCCATTAGACAAAGATTTCGTAATTCTATACTGCCTGCCAAAACTTACCATGGAGCAGACATCGATTCAGACCATAACCCTATAGTAATCACATTACGAACCAAATTGAAACTGGTTAAAAACCCACACAAAGTAGAATTGATATTAAGAGATTAAGGAAACCATAAACAAAGGAACAAACTGTAAAAACTCTTACTAAAAATGTATGTAATGCCCAATAACTGAAAAAAAGTAGCTATAACATTGATCAGAAACGGGAAAATATAAAAGTAGCAATAATTAAAACAGCTAATAAAACCTTAAAACCAAAGAAAAAAAACATACAGACTGGATAACTGAAGAAATACTACTATTAATGAATGAAAAAAAAAAATAATTCAAAACAAAAAGTCCAATTAAATATAATGAAACTGATCGATTAATTAAAAAGAAAATAAAAGAAGCTAAGGAGAGAATGTTACATGGGCAGTGCCAAGAACTAGAAGAAATTGAGAAAAAATTCGACTTCTTAACATGCATAACAGAATTAGATAATTAACAGGAATGAGAAAAACACTTCAAACTAGGCAACTAAGAGACAAAAGTGGTGCATTTATAACAGATGTAAACCAAAAAATGCAGGTATGGACACAATATATAGCACAACTTTTTGAAGACAAAGAGAGAATAGAAGCACCAAAAGAATTTAACGATGATACTGGGCCTGCCATTATACGAGAAGAAATTGAATATTCAATGAAACAAGCTAAAGGTGGTAAATCTCCCGGATCTGATGAAGGTCCTATCGAATTACTTAAAATTGTGAATACTGAATCTATTGATCTTCTTTTGGATATATTCAACACCGTATATAGAACAGGTATAATACCTAAAGAATGGCTAAAATCAACATTCATTCTGCTTCCCAAAAAAGCCAATGCAAAGGAGTACAATAAACATAGCGCCATAGCCTTATTCAGTTATGACTTAAAATTGTTTTTAAAAGTAATTGACAATAGAATACAAAATAATATGAAATTAGATAAAGGTATAAGTAATACACAAATTAGATTCAGGAAAGGACTGTGAACACGAGATGCACTGTTTTGAGTAAGAGTTCTTTCGCGAGATTACATCAGGAAGTATATACCTGTTTCATTGATTTTTAGATGGCATTTGTCATAATCGACTTAAAGAAATAGAGAAGACAGCATAATCGGCTTAAAGAAATTTTATTAAATAAAAACATAGACAGTAGAGACATTAGAATCATTTATGTAACCTACATTTTAATCAAAAGTGAAAGTTGAAAATGAACTGACCGAGGATATCCATATTCGCCGTGGGGTCCGCCAAGGGTGTATTTTATCACCCTTGTTATGCAATTTATACAGTGAATCCATCGCAGAATTAGCGCTAGCCGAGATCAGTGAGGACCTTATAATAAACAGTAAGCCTCTTAATAACATAAGATATGCTGACGATACCGTCCTTCTGGCTGGGACACTACAAGAACTGCAACATCTTGCTGAACAACTAAATATATATTGCAACGATTATGGACTAAAAATAAATTTGAAGAAAAACTTCATGGTAGTTACAAAAGCACAAATTATCAAAGTTAAGCTTGTACTAGATAATATAGAAATTGAACAAATATCTTCGTACAAATACCTTGAAGCATGAATCACAGAAGATACTGACCAGACAAAAAAAAATAAGATGCTGCATTGAAATTGCACAGTCAACTTTTAATTAAATGAGAAAACTTTTTTGTAATCACGATATCAATATATCGCTCCGGATAAGAATGCTTCGATGTTATATTTTCTCTACCCTTTTGTATGTGGTTGAATCTTGGAAACTTCAAAAATCTAACATTAAAAACCTACAAGCATTCGAAATGTGGTATTACCGACATATTTTGAAAATATCATGGATGGATTGCAAAACAAAGGACAAGTTATCGAACAACTAGGACAACAATGCAAGTTTTAAGTTCCATAAAAATCAGGAAATTGGAATATTTGGGGCACGTCATGAGAGGTGAAAAATACGAACTATTATGGAATATAATGCAGGGTAAAATCAAAGGTAGAAGAAGCGTAGGAAGACGTAAAATCTCGTGGCTACGCAATCTCCGTGAATGGTTTGGATGCAGTTCAATTGAACTATTCAGGTGCGTAACCAACAAAATTATAATTGCCAGAAGGATTTCCAATCTCCGATAGGAGCGAAACTTGAAGAAGAAGTATATACTTTTTGCAGTCACCCACTAAAATACAATTCTTTTCGCGGCAAATATTTTAGTGCTTATATTCTTCACGGAAAGACAAATAAAAGTAATTTCGTCAACATATCAAATTGTTACTGTTTTCGCTGACAATTTATGAGTTATTTTCTTCGTCTTAAATAAAAATACCCTTTAAATAAATGCCTTTTACAGTCATTAAGTAAATAGAAGCCTATATAGTACATGTAAAATGTATGATATTGCTGCTAAAGTTTAAGTTGTTTCAGAGTAGACTATTCAGTGTAGGAAGAAAAAAAATTTTACATAAAAAAAATTCTACATAAAAACATGCTTATTGAAATTGAAGTCTCAATTATTGTGTATGTGTCAAAAGTTTGCTTCTGATAGTCAGATTATTAAAGCATGTACTAAAGCATATGTAAAGCATGGATTTTATTGGCTTGACTTGTTTTCCTTTGTAAGGTAAAATATCTGTGGCTGTTTCAGCTTGATAAGTTTTAACCTCTGCCTATATGTTGGAAATTATTTGCTTTAATGTTTTTCGGTTTTCTAAATTGTCTCGAATGCTAGTCCGTCCCTTTTATATTTATTTACAAATGACTTTTTTGTACTTAGTCATGTCCAGATTTATATTTGTGCTTATTTATTTTTTATGCTGTTTGCATTTTCGATTAACACGTAAAAGTCTGGAATGTCTAGTTCTATTCGTTTTAGAAAGCTTTGTCTGCCGAATACGTTAAAAAGTGATTCAAGATTCTAGTACAGGCTATTAATTATGTGTAAAGAAATAGTTCAATCAATCGAAACAAATCTGGCTTTCAAAATGATTGTCAATGTTTTTTGTTTATCTATTACGATAAATTAATCAAACGATCTATTTTCTATATACGATGTTTTATATATACGAAATGTTTTATTTAAAAAAATCTGTTAATAAGGATATATGTATAATAAAAATACCATCGTGTTCCATCACATAATGTTTTCGGACTAATAAATCTATTATCAGTAGTAATATCCCTAGGACATTGATAACAGACGAGATAATTTCATGACAATCGAAAGCTCGTTCCTTGTGCTTAGCCTTCGGCTTCGTGCTGTTACCAAGCAACGAGCTTGAGAAATTTTTCATGAAATTATGAGGCATTCATCAATGTCCGAGGAGTATTTGGCGGATAATTTTTCGAAAAAAAAAAATCATAACTCAACATAACGAAACATTTATTTATTAAACGTACAGTTAGTGAACGTACAATTATTAAAATTTAAGTTAACATTAGATTCGTTGCTGTTCTCTACTATACAAGATCTATCACCACGCATAATATTTATAATCTTGTTGTGTTTTCAAACTCGATCGTGTTGTCATAGGGATTGAAAATTGCACTGAATGCAATTATCAGTCTAATATTGACATAATTAATGGATTCGACCGTTACTTGATGGAAATTCATTTTATGTAACAATAAAACACTGAAAACTTTGTTTTCAAACTTCCACAAAATTTATTTTAATTATTATCACTACAGCTGTTTCGGCTGATAGCCTTTCTCAAGTGATCTATTTTTGGCTTGGGTTTACAAATTTATAGTCACTAATGAAATAGGTTGAGGAGGCGAGAACTGTTTGTCTCAAGTTGGTCATTCAGAATTATATCTGTGTTTTTTAATTTGTAGATTTCCATAGATTCTAACAAAGATAGCTTAAGGCCTTTATTTTGAATGTGAAGAATTTTATATTTGTCATTAAAAGAATGATTATGATCTAGAAGGTAAAGTGCGTATGTCGAATCTGTTTTTCTATTCTTGAAAGCCCTTTTATGTTCTGCTATTCGTTTCTCAAAGTTTCTACCAGTTTGACCGATGTAAGTTTTTGGGCAGTCGCCACATTGAAGTTTATACACACCACTATTTAAGTGTTTTTTATTTTGGCTCTTGTTATTTTTAATATATTTACCTAGGTTGTTATTTGTTCGGAAAGCTGGTGTTATTCCTTTCTTTTTTATGTGTTTGGCAATTTTTGTTGTTTTTTTTGCCTGTGTATGTAATCGAGCAGAAGGTACTGGGTTTTTTCTCTGGTGGTGGAAATACTATTTTCAGGGCTTTCTTGTGTAGTTTTTGATTTAACTTGAATAACTTATTAACTTAATGAACTTATTGAAACTTTACACAAAGATCCGACAGAAAAATATCAAAAACAAATTAAGCTAGCGTTAGAAAATTCAAAAGCAATACTAAATCCAATAGAACAGAAATATCTCAATATCATGAACCCACAGCCTCCTAAATTATACTCTTTCATTAAACTACACAAACCGGATCACCCAATAAGACCTGTAGTTTCTTTTTATACAGCTCTGTCATATAAACTTTCCAAAAAACTGTTAGAGATTATTTTAGAACACACTAAATTTTCACCTAAATTCACCATAAAAAATACAATAGAACTAGTTAATAAAATACAACATTTTCTATTACCTAACAACTCCAGATTAATTTCATTTGACGTAAAAAATCTTTTTCCTAGTATCCCTCCTACAGAAACTTTTATTCTAGTAAAAAACGTTTTAGACCAAAATAGTACAAATCCAGTAATTACATCTGAAATATTACATCTTCTTGAAGTTTGCATAAACCAGGACTACTTTGAATTTAATAATAAAATATATACAAATAACAGTGCAGGACTTATAATGGGTAATCCTCTAAGCCCATTGCTATCAGATATTTTTATGGATCATCTAGAGACAAAGATTTCAAAACATCCCGTATTCAAACAGTTTTTATATTGGTGGAGATACGTAGACGACGTACTGGTATGTTTCACAGGAACTAACAAGCAACTCGACCAATTTTCATCGTATATTAATTCACTTCATAGTCATATTAAATTTACAATAGAAACAGAACAAAATCAATGCATAAATTTTTTAGATTTAAAAATTAGCAGACTTCAAAATAAACATGACTTCTCCATATTTCACAAACCTACCCATACTGACACGACTATACACAACTCATCATCCCATCCAACACAACATAAACTGGCAGCCTATCATAGTATGTTACATATATTAACAGAAATTCCGATGTCAAAAGACAACTTTGAGACAGAATTAAATATAATTAAGCAAATAGCAGTAAACAACGGATACAACGAACAAACAATTAATAAAATGTTAAATCAAAAACTACACAAGAAAGCCCTGAAAATAGTATTTCCACCACCAGAGAAAAAACCCAGTACTACCTTCTGTTCGATTACATATACAGGCAAAATAACAATAAAAATTGCCAAACACATAAAAAAGAAAGGAATAACACCAGCTTTCCGAACAAATAACAACCTAGGTAAATATATTAAAAATAACAAGAGCCAAAATAAAAAAACACTTAAATAGTGGTGTGTACAAACTTCAATGTGGCGACTGCCCAAAAACTTACATCGGTCAAACTGGTAGAAACTTTGAGAAACGAATAGCAGAACATAAAAGGGCTTTCAAGAATAGAAAAACAGATTCGACATACGCACTTCACCTTCTAGATCATAATCATTCTTTTAATGACAAATTTAAAATTCTTCACATTCAAAATAAAGGCCTTAAGCTATCTTTGTTAGAATCTATGGAAATCAACAAATTAAAAAACACAGATATAATTCTGAATGACCAACTTGAGACAAACAGTTCTCCCCTCCTCAACCTATTTCATTAGAGACTATAAATTTGTAAACCCAAGCCAAAAATAGATCACTTGAGAAAGGCTATCAGCCGAAACAGCTGTAGTGATAATAGTTAAAATAAATTTTGTGGAAGTTTGAAAACAAAGTTTTCAGTGTTTTATTGTTACATAATATTAACATGATTGGGTGAAATTGTTCCACATGACACAAAATGACGAAATTTGAATGGTTGTTAGAACCGCGAAAAATTATCAGTGTAATTACCCGCTGCTAATATTACATTAGTGAAGCTACTAAAGATGTGGGTAAAAACCTTTTAAATAATATTAACTGTATTAATTATTACAGATTGGTCGAAAAGTTTAAATTATGTTCTATTAAACAGATTAATTCATGGCAATGCAAGACTCCTAGGGTTTGCTTATCTGAGACAAGATCTCTCTATGGGTCCTCGATAATACCCATAGAGAGACCATGAAAGTATAACTAATATTCTACCACTAAAATTGTCCTAGACAGCGACGTAAAGCTTTGAGATATATCTAGGCTTATTTGTGATAATATTTTTTAATCCCTGAAATAATTCTTCTATACCTAAAGGTTTATATCTGTGACTATTGTGTAAGCTGATCCTTATGAGGTATTGTGAAATACATTATACAGTATGCCATTGTCTTACAACCAAAACTCTGCTAGAACAGTTCTCTTTTTGTAATTATGCTAAATTTGCACGCTTGTATCATATAATACTTAATTTTATTTTAAAGTAATTCATTCATTAACAAATAATTCATTTTTATATTTGTTTTCAAAGCACATGGTGAACTGTTTGTTTTTTAATAATAATTGTATTGAATACATTACATAGACAAATTTATTGTTATTAACAATATGAGATTAGAGTCTAAGTCCTTGCAGAGAACACTAAGGTAAAATACAGATATATGCGATTTAGCAGAACTACATTGAAGATATCAAGAACATTTAAAACCAAAACCCACAATATCTTCATATCAGAATTTGAAAACACAGGATATACTGAAATGCCCATACTAATAACCAATAGAACACCGAATTGTATCACGCAATATGAAATCCGATGGAGATAGGAGATAGGAGAATCCGATGATATCAATATCAAACGTGGGGTCCGACAGTATTGGACGTCAGTGGAACGACAGAGTAACAAGTATTGGATATCAGTGGAATTAGCGTAAAAGAGAAGAAGTATGCTACAGCATACCGCAAAAACAGGAAACAATACTCAATGAGAATTCTAAGGAAAAAAGTAAAATATATGTGCATAAGATATAAAAACAAATATGTAAATAACACTTGTCATGAACAGAAGTAAAATGCAAATCGCCGTAAAAGGCATAAAAAAAGTTGAATATTTGGCCGATAGTTCAAGTAACAACTTCATTTAAATCCATAATGGAGAAAGTAAAAACCGATATGGAGAGCATTGTGAAAACTTGAAAAAATTACTGTTCAGAATTATAAAACGACACTACAAAAGATGGGTCAGTAAAAAAAAACACAAAGATAAATAGCATATTACGGGAGACTCAACAAAGCAATGGGCGAGATTGGCACAGATAGGTAATACTAAATATATGCAACATGATATGGATCCCAGGTGAAAGACTAATGAGTGGTGCGAATCAACCTTTATAACTATTCATAAAAAGGATCATTAACCATATGCAGCAATTACAACACGATTGCTCTTATTCCTCATGTACGCAAAATTCTGCTAAATATAATCAATCAAGAACTTTCAGGCCGAAGAAAAGTATTCTGAATTTGAAAATTTTACAGCATGGTACCATAAAAAAGAAAATTGTTATAGTGGATACAATCGTTAACGTTTAATATTTGGATAGGTTATTAGCAGAAGAAGAAGAATCTCAAGCTTTGTGCTAAATGGTAGAACAAACAAACAAAACATTATTTTAGAAAATGATGAAAATTAAAAATTAAATTTATAAAAATAAACAACAACTTATAACATTCTTTTTTTTCAGTGAATTGCTCAATATTTGGTCGTAAGAAAAAACAATATAAGGACAAATATTTGGCGAAGCATAATGCCGTTTTTGACCAATTAGATTTAGTTACTTATGAGGAGGTTGTGAAACTACCCAGTAAGTATCATATTAGTTTAACTAATTAGTTTTTCGTAGCAGCCCTAACAAAAAATACAAACAGTACCTTTGTCTCGGCTCTTAAAATTTTTGTGTTTATTTTTTTTTGGTAGAAAAAAAGGCGCATCCACCAAAAAGTTATTAGCCACGGAACACAATATAAAATAACAAAATTGAATAACTACAGATTATACTAGAAAATGTTAAATATTTAATTATATTATCATAAGAACACTCCTGACCTAGAACTTCTGCTAGAGAGTTCGAGATATTGTAACGATGTCTTTCTTGATCATATTTACCACAGTTTATTTAAAATATTTCAACTGTTAGTCGAACGTTATACTGATCACTTGGTGGGTTATTCTTTGTGAAAGTTTTGTTCACGCCTGTTAAGTGACAATGAAATCTACTGGGAAACATTACGCCTAATTTTATTCAGCTTAGAATTACTTTCAGATTACTCATTTCGCCAAAAAAACTATTTATGTTTAAAATAAGTTTTTAAGTCCCTGGAATCACACTTATCTACAAATAATCGCTTAAAATTGAGTGTCGTGCAGTCATGTCAGCTTCTTCGTTTCCCGTTATACCGACATGTGAGGTGTGAGGGTACCCACAAACATTGAACTCTTCTTCCATGTTGCCGAGCTTGGGACAGCTGATGTTTTAGTAAATTTTCAAAAGGATATTTAGGAAAAATATGTTTTAATGAGTTTAGAGAGCTAAGGGAATCTGTTATGATCAGGAATTTTGGGATGGTAAGCTAGTTAAAAGTTTTCACAGCATAGAAATATAGCGGTATATAGCGTTGAAACTCAGCTGAATATGTGCTACATACTGAGGGTAGACGGAAAAGAAGATCGTTTTCTAAAGAAACGATTGATGCTCCTACTCTGTCTTCGGACTTGAGGCATATGTGTAAATTTTATAGTGGTCGGGGTACTTTTCTAAGAGGGCTTCGAACTTAAGCCGAATAAGGGAATTGTTTGTACTGGATTTATCGAAATAGACTAGAGATGTATTATAGAGTTGTAAATTCGATCAGCCAAGGCTCATGGTATTTAATATCCTAAGCGCAAACATCCGGAAAAAGTATGGACTTAATTCTTTCGTAATATGGTTTTTTAGTTGAGCAAATATCTTGGAATTTGTTTACGTATTTATTTGTTTAATATATTGGTTTTGAAATGTTACAAGCTACTGAGGCTGCATGTGATAGGACGAGGTACATGCGGCGGTGATGTAGCGGTGGTTCTCCTAAAAGAGCATAAATATAGGGTTACCGGGGAAGTTGGAAAAGTCCTTGTACTTAGTCTAAGACTTTTATTATAAATAAAATCTAATAAGTTAAAAAGAGATTGATTCACTAGTGGAATGGGCAATTGCTCCATAATCTAGCTTAGAACGTATTAAAGATTTATACAGAAAAAGTAGAGTGGATTGGTTTGAGCGCCAGTTTTTGTTAGAAAGAAATCTTAACACAACAAAATGACGGTATTAGATTTTGATTTGATACAGAGCAGCAACAAGCCGCATATACGTATTTCGATCTCTTTAGATCTCCTCAGTACGGTATAGCTACTACTCTATATCAAACCAAAATATTTTCCCGTCGTAGATTATAATTGTTAAAAATAACTATTTACGGACGTAACTACGCCATCTAAGAACAAAAAGAGAAATCATACGATTTCTACCTGGCGAAATCGAATTCAAATATAAGCCACCGTGCCCCTAAAAGGGGCTAGTCTTTTTAGACTCCCTTGCCGATTCATTCGTCAAGCTGTTTGCTTTGCAAGTTTTAGGAGACACGGTGGCTTATATTTGAATTCGATTTCGCCAGGTAGAAATCGTATGATTTCTCTATTAGATCTTAACACATTTAATCTTTTAATACAGTAAAGGGTGTGTTGTGAGATGTGATCTTTCTACGTAAGCTTTGAACCAAAAATTAAACCCAAGAATTTGTGATGGTTTCTAAACTCCAGCTGTTTCTCATAGATTCTCAGGGATTGGAATTTTTCAAAACCCATACGAACCTAGAGTTAACAATATTTTTAGTAATTTACACGTTGTTGATCTCAGAGATATGGGTCAGTATGATTCTGGGTCATATTTAGGTTTGTCAGCTTTTAGGAGAGGAATGCCTTCGACCAAATAGCTGGCCATTAATGGTGGAGCCAAATTTCTTTAAGAGAAAGTTATGGCTGAAACAGGAAGATGTTTTAGAATTGCTGAAGGAATACCATCAGATCCAGGACTAGAATCCTTCTGGTTAAGAAGATATGAGTTTATCTTTTGAAAAGAGATAGGATGGTTTGAGGAATTATTTTGAACTTCTAATAGATGTACTGGATTTTGTTCAGCGAATTCTTTGACTTGGCTGTATACTGTTCATTCGATGAGTAGCTTTGATAGATTTTTCCAAAAATGTTTGCAATATCACTGCTCGATGTTATGAAAATATAATTTTCTTTTAAGTCCTTGAAATTGTTTGAAGTTAGTAAACCAGATATTTTTCTAACTTTGTTTCAGACATCAGAGAGAGGGGTATTGTTATTAATATTTCCGATACGTACTTATTCCATAAAAATGTTTTAGGAGTTTTGACAGTTAGCTGAGTTCTTGCTTTTAGCATTTTAAACTTTAATTTATTTTCGGGTGTTGTATGCTTTTTGTATGATGTTGATGCTGAATTTGTAGAAAGAGATATGATTTCACCAAAACTGCGTTTTATGGAAGTATTTGCATAAATAGAGACAGAAGTCGAGCTTGAAGTTTTATTTGTAAGATTGGCTGAAATAGTTGTTTCAGAAAAATGTGGTAATGTATCAGCTTTATCAGAGTTTTCTGCAATTTTATCTAATGGAAGAGATGTTGATAGGTTGGAGGATATTGCTTCCGAAGTTTGTGGAAACGGTGTTGTCGCCGAATGAGATTGATTAAAAGAGTTGCTATAACTATTAGTATCGGATGTTTCTTGATTTTGAAAATTTGTAGGTGAGCTTACACTTGAAATATTACTGGAATTCGTAAGACACTGGCTAGCGATATGTTATGAAGCTTTGCATTTATAGCAGATTAGACTATCTTGAGAAATGAAGATTCTATAGGAACTATTTTCGTAATTTACTATAAACGACTTAGGTACGACAAAATTGTATGGATTGACATAGACTTGTCTTCGGTAACTTAGTATGTGGCTATATTCCGGTAGGTTTGAGCTAATCCTAAGAAAAGAAATCAGAGAAATCATATTTAAACCAATATTTTATAATTCTTCGCAAAACACTTCATTGGGAATAGCTGAAGATACATTTGACAGTATAATTCTCTCAGTTGGTGTTATAAGTCGACGTGAATTTATAATTTGATCCTGAACCTCGATTGAGCGGTGGGAATTCATAAACTTCTGTAACAGTTGCTCACTAGATAGACACATGCACATTCTATTTTTTGATAAACTGGAATAGAAAATATTATTTTTGCGCCGAAAATTATAGCCTGATCATTTTTTAGAAAGTGCTGCTGGGCTAAGGCCGTGTGATATGACTTAACAGTGGTAGATTGGCTTTGAATATGGGGTGTAAATCGATTCAATATTTGACTCCGTAGTACCTTGGACAGTAGCACCAAAATTTTTGGTGCTGACCTGTCTAGTAGCTCATAACAAAGGCATGCACAACTTTGTCGAAACCAATTTGATTTGCATAAGATCATAATATAATAATGATCATGATCATGATCATAGATTGATCAATAAATATATACAGATGACTTACAGTTTATCAGCTAATTATTGCACTATAACTTAACTAAACTCTTCTTCAATGTTGTTTTTAATTTTCTCCCAGCTCGCGTTTATATCTTTGATGTCGTCTATTTGTTTCAGCTGTATTTTACCTACTTAACTAAACTTGATTCTTAAATTCCACCGTAAATTGCAAATTTTATAGGACCGAAGAAAAATACTGTTTACTACTGTACCACCAGGGACGGCCTCGACAATTTTTTTGTTTTATATAAATTTTGATTTTAAATGGGATAAACGAAGAATTGTTCGCAAATGTAGATCCATTTTAAAACGATAAAAAAAAGGAAAGAAACTAACAGTTGGTGTAGTCTTTTTACCTTCTCAAATATAATTGTGTATTTAAATTAAAAAAAAAACATCACAATCTTACTCTATTTAAATATTAAATATTTACAAGAGACGCTTTTATTGTTAGAAATGAACGTCAAACAGAAGTATGAGTTAACACTTAAAAGTCAATGTTTTTATAACCTCTTAAGATGTGGAAAACATACTTGTTAAGTTAATTTTTTATATGAGGTTATCGAAAAACTATTTTGGATCTATCCCTCTAACCAAATAGCGATTAATTCGGTGAAGTAACTCTCGAGGTTAATTAGTATGTGCATACTTATCAGACGCTCGGTTTAGAGAGGAAATTTGTAAATTGATTTACATTTAATCAAATGACTTTTCAGTGACCGATCCGGCATTTCAAAGGAAAACATTGGTGTTGCTTGGTGCTCATGGAGTGGGACGGAGGCATATAAAGAATACGTTAATAGCCAAACACCCGGATGAATACGCTTATCCAATACCGCGTAAGTATTAGCGTTTTATTTTAATACGAACTGATCGCTTATTTTAGACTTCCAGATATAAATGTATTCCTAAATATTTTTAATCTTAGACTTATTGCAACATCGTGGTAAGCCACAAAATAAGAATGCTAAGATATGAGGCGCTCAGGGCTAAAGTGGATCAAGTCCATAAATTATAGTTCTGAGATAATGAAGGTTAAAGTTTAGGTAAGACTAGTTGAACACAAAAGTGTTTTAAAGATTAGTTTTTTTATAGCTATAGTACGAACACTAACTTAAATATGTCATAATTTAAAAATAAAAGAAATATTTTAAGTGTTAATTTAATTGTAAATCTTATTATTACTGGACTTGATCCCTTTGGTTCTGATTTTTGTTTTTTTTTATAAGGTCGATCAAATGAATACAATACATAAGCATCTAACATTTATAGTTTAAAACCGTTCACAAGTTAATATAAAAAAAGTTTTAAAATTGCACTTTAAATGCTGTTATCAAAAATAGGTTCGTCATAACCTGGTTCTTCGTCCGTTTTCTGGGAACTTTGTGACCTGGTAAAACTTTCTGTTAGAAGATTTTTAAAGTGGGTGTGGGTATTTGAGGGTAGAAATGGTAAAAGACTAAGCATGTCTTTTTCTTTGCCTCAGTGACTACTCCTCAGTCGTGTATAACGGGTCTTCTTCTTCTTAGGGTGCCTATCCGTTCCGAACGTTGGCGATCATTCTGGCTATGATAATTTTGTTGGTTGCTATACGAAATAGCTGTATTGAGGTCTTTCTATACCATGCTCTCATGTCAGCAAGCCAGGATATACTTCTTCGTCCTGGGGCTCTTTTCCTTCAATTTTACCCTGCAAATGCATTGGAGTAGCTCGTATGGCCTTGATTTCTCATTATATGTCCCATAACGGGTCTTGCTTTTCAATAAATTGAGAAATTTTCGTAGATATGGTTACTTTCAAGAAGTCGAAATCTTTGTTTAAAGTATTTTTAAACTGCAGTATCCAGGGTCTCTCCCGCTCATACCTCATCCATCTTATCTCTAACCACTTTATAGGATCACCATCCTCCGTTTTTTTTCTGTTGACTATTATGTTTTCAAGTTTTTTGGAGATAAAATTTCTGGTGTTGTTACTTTGATGACCACGAAAGGCTTCTTAATCTTTGCAGTCTTGGCTACATGCATCCAATCTTCAGGTGTAAATATCTGAATACACTTTCGGGATGCTGATTCTATCACTCCAAAATCTTGGTCATTAGGTAAAAACGAATGACCAGAAACCAAAAATTTATGATTGATTGTTTCAATGCTTAACTGAGGATCAAGGACCAAGTTCATTAAGGTAGAAGCAACTTTAATATTTCTGTTTTGACCAGTGCAAGAATCAGAGTAGAGAATAACATGTTTGTGGTTTTTAGCCTCTTGTCTAATGTGTTTAGCCAGCATAGATGCTACTTCTTGAGATCCCCTCCCTCCTTTTGTTTCGTCTCAGAAATGCATGTATTATTATTATTAAAGAATGGATTCCAAAATTGCAAACGTACATATTTCTTTTATAGTATGCTAGGGAAGTAGTCAATTTGGGATATGGGAGAGCCTTTTGTAGATCAAATGTTGCAACATAGCATGTGTCTGATGCAGCAGCTTTGTCATTTTTAAGAGATTCCCTAGATTGCAAAGCTTTAGCCAAGTGCAATTTCTTTTCGAATTCAAATTTACCACGTCGTTCTGGGTCATTTTTCTCACCAAATTATTTCAATTGAAGTTTGTCATATCGATTACATGTATCCTTTGCAGGAACTTTAAAATGTAAGTTAAACTTGGTAGAAAAAATATGATAGTGAAACGTTTGTTTTAAAGGTTGCTTTCCTTCATTTTCGCAATAAATCATACAGTTTTCTAATATTTAAATCCTAATGTAGATACTTTCTTTCTGGATTTTTTTGCCTACTGTATACTGTAGTGGCAGTAAAGGGGCAGGCAGGAGGGGTTTGGCGTATTTTCCCATGTTAAATCCGATAAGAAATCGCTAAGGTCGATTCTGGTCATTTTTGTCTCATTTTGTGGTAGAGGCGCGACGGTTCGTCGGATCGTGACGTGAAGGTATCGTTGGAAAGCGGAGGGGATGGAGAACACGTTGAGATAAAAATCAAACCCAAACAATGTGTCAAACGACGCTATCTCCGTTGTTATTGGTTCAATTGTGATGTACGCAGGCTCGTTGGAACGGGGAGAGGAGTAGCGAATACGTTAACATAAATTCAAAACCTATTCAAAACCAGTTCAAAACCAGTTCAAAACCTGTTTAAAACCAGTTCAAAACCTGTTCAGGACCTGATACATTTTACGATGAATAAATCTTAAACAACTCAAAAAAGGACAATCAAGAGTTTTTCATTGTAAAATGTATCAGATCTTGAACAGGTTTTGAACTGGTTTTGAACACGTTTTAAACAGGTTTTGAACTGGTTTTGAACTGGTTTTGACCTGGTTTTTGACTGGTTTTTAACTGGTTTTGAACTGGTTTTGAACAAGTTTTTAATTTATGTTAACGTATTCGCTACCCTCTCCCCATTCTAACGAGCCTGCCTACGTCACACTCGAACCAATAACAACTGAGATAGCGCCGTTTTGGCACATTGTTTGCGTTTGATTTTTATCTCAACGTGTTCTCCGTCCCCTCCACCTTCCAACGATACCTTACATGTCAAGATCCGACGAGCCGTCGCGCCTCCACCACAAAATGAGACAAAAATGACCAGAATTGACCTTAGCGATTTCTTATGGGATTTAACATGAGAAAATACGCCGAACCCCTGCTGCCCCTTTACTAGTGGATTTGATAAGCTGGAAAAGAGTTTATATGTGCCACTATTTCAGAATCATCAAGTTTATTAATTGGAACATTTTTACCATGCCAATCAATGACAGCATGAACTTGAGGCTTTGATATCCACCTGTAAACTCTGTCATGACTAAGCTGAAAAGTTTCAAGAAAAAACTTCTTGCACATCGTTTGAGAATTAGCACCATCCCTTAAAATGTAGGAGTAGGATACATGTTTTTCAATACCACTTCCATCTCTTATTCGCTTCCTTTTCACGGCGCAAGTCAAGACCGAACTTCTTGTATACACATTTTGCTTACTGAAATCTCCTAGCTTTCAAAATGATTCGAACATTTGTTTTCTTCATGGACGTATAAATTTATACGTCCATGATTTTGTTTCTTCCTCTATGAATGTTTCAATACATTTTGTTTTACAGTGACATGGTCTGTTTATAAAGCACTTTTGTGACACTTCCTTACCTTTGGCTGATTGGTAGGAGAGGCGACTGTTTCTTAAATGTCACCTTTTACTTTTTATGCAGTTGTCTATATTTTTCTTTCTTTTTCGTCCCTTTCCTTTATTATTCGCCTTTAAATTTATTGACTCACTTGGCCCAGGAAGGATATCGAAATAAACAGACTGCGCTCCACATATCCTAAATTGCTAAGAGCCAACTCCTTACATCAGGAACATTTCAATCTGACCTAAACGCTTACAGAAGACAATGTGAATCCGTCACATTGTTGAAGAATGCCGTTGAAGACATGGGGTTCTTGAGTTTGCGATGAGTTCCTGAATGCGACCGAAAATGTTTTACATTATATTAATAATACATTAGATGTTCGTTTGTAATACTTCATGTAACGTTTTATATTGATTTTTTATTGATTGATTTGAAGATTCCGAGGGCTATGTAAATTCTCTGATTTTTTGGGTATGACTTCGCGTTGAATAATTTTGGATTTTATAAAAACTATTGTTTTGATGACGTTTTGGCATGTTCATACTTGCCATGGTCTAGTCAGATTTGTTCTGCTTTTTTCTGATGTCCGAGGAAAACTTTAATTAAAATAGCATCATATTTTTTCAAATAATCTTTAATAAGTGGAAATCGAAATGTCGAAACCAAATTTAAAATGTAATTTTTATTATAATTAATTTTTCATCAGTGATTTAGTCCCACATAAATACAATGTTTAGTAGTTATAAGTACAATTTTGATTTTAGATACAACGAGGCAACCCAGGGCAGATGAAGAAAATGGCAGAAATTACTTTTTTGTCTCTCACGACGAGATGATGGCCGACATAGCCGCTAATGAGTACTTGGAATACGGTACTCACGAAGATGCCATGTATGGCACTAAATTAGATACTATTAGAAAAATACATCAAGATGGCAAAATAGCCATCCTCGATGTGGAACCACAAGCACTTAAGGTGCTACGTACTGCTGAGTTCTCACCATATGTTGTGTTCATTGCTGCCCCTGCTTTGCAAAACATAGCAGATGTAAGTATGGATTTTATTTAATATTTCGGTTTTTTTGTGTGTGTCTTTATTTCGTTTTTCACATAAATATACAGTACTATATATTAAGTTCATAACTTTTTAATAAACTCATTTTTTTTTAATATAAGACGTGAGTCTAAGCAAATAGTTCTTTATTTGACAGATTAGTTTTCAAAAATTACCATTTTTGACGCCAAACTTGTGATAATACATTCATAAAAATTAAATATCGTAGGGTAAGGTGGGGGAAGTGCGCCCCCTTTATTTATATTTGGTTTAAATTGTATCAATGCTTCAGTTGGGTTATTTCTGCCAAATCGAGAATAAGTGCACCAAGTAGGGTAGGGTGGGGTAGATTTGGACATTATTTTTCAGTAGGGAATTTTTTCAAGATATTTTAATAATTTATGACAGATAATGTACAAGTTAATAGTTGTATTTGTTGTCTTTGAATATTTATCGACGAAACTACAAATTAACCAGTCAAGCATAGAAAAAATAAAAATTTTCTTCAACAGTGTATTTGTCCAATTATACCCCATTATGGGGCAGACTTGTACAGATGTGGGGCACATTTGGACCATTCAGATAAACATTTGTCTAAGCATTATACAAAAAAAAAATAATATAATGAACAAAGTACTCACGAATGATATTTATTGGTTATAACATTAACGTATTTGACAAAGACGTTATTTAATGTTGTAAGGGAAAAATGAGGTATTTAACTTTATGTAAGACGCTTGACGAGATGTTCAGTAGAATAATAAAAGCCACTGTTCAGTTTGTATCGTAAACATTTTAGTGTTAGTTCCTCATCCACTAGTTCTTCTACACAGCCCACAAAGTGAATAACTGTTTTGTTTTGTTGCACATTTTACGAAAACAAAGTCGCCTACAATGACCTCTTCATCATCTAAAAGACCATTTATTGCCTCCTGACCATTGTGCACATCTATATCACAATCTGAATTGCAATCAGATATCGTAGCGCATACGTTAGATTCTGAGGAACTAGTGATTTTTTCTTTGGACTTTTTTTAGCCTTCTTTTGTGCAGGTTTTAATTTTTCACTAAGTATAATTAATTTCTCTTTTAACAACTTTGACTCGTTTGTCATTCCTTTCCTTCTCTTCAGCTTCAACCCTATTCTTTTCTGGTGTACTAGCATATTCTGCTTTAGTTGCAATGTAGGAAATGGTCGAATATCTACTAATTTTGCACGTTTAGGAGATCGTGCTACTCCTAGGTAAGAAGCTTCGGTGAAAACATTTGTTAGCACCTCTTCCACTAGATCCGTAATAAATTCCAGACTATCATCTTCCTTCATAGGCATTTCGGGGGTTTCAGCAAGAGCTGAGTTTTTCATAGCATTTATTTAAAAATTCCTGGAACGTGTTATTGCTGCAGGGTTATTTTCCTTTTGTAAACTAGTGGAAGGTCTATAGGTCCAGCAAAATCTGAATCGTCAAAATTAAGACTGTATACTGGCCAGATTCCAGCTTTTTCGAAAGCCTTTGTTATAATAATAGGAGTAAATGATAACAAATATGGCTGGGCTGTCAAACTTGCAATGTTATAGATCGTTATTGCTTTGGCAGGGTTTGATAAAATGAAATCATTGAAGGATGACTTGCACCTAGCTTTGAAAGGGCCGTAAACTTCAATGTCCAGCGGCTGCATCCTGTGTGTGCAGTGAGGCGGAAAAGAAAGCATAACTATTCCATGCTCTCTGCAAATAATTAATTGCATTAAGTCTCATGATTGCACATGAGTCTCGTGATTATCAACAAGCAAGAAAACAGGATTATCCTCTTTCTGATAAAAAACATTGACCCACTTGCTTCTTACCGGTTTCTGATATAACTTTTGATGCTTGCATGACCGTAGACATACCAGTTTCATCAGTATTAACGATTCGATCAGGAGGAAATTTATAATTGACCATAACCTCAGAATATTTTTGAACAAAAAGTTTAACGTTTCTTTACCGGACGTGCGAGCAATGCTGACATTTTCGGTTTTGTATACGACAGTCTTGGGTGGCGTTTCATGAATGAACGCATCCTTCGATTCCTGACATCTGATTTTCGTCCCTAGTAGCTGGATATTTCTTATTCAGTTTCTTTGTATATCAAAATGCTAATATTCTAGCCTGTTTGTAGCTTCTAATCTAATCTTCTGTTGAAATGTTGGCTCTATCTAATTTGAGTTTATAATTACGCACCATTCTGTAAAAAACAAAAACTATAAGTTTGGCGCAAAACCAAGTAGTTTTTTGAATCTATGATGCTCATTTATGTTAATGCTCCATTCTAACAATGAGTTTTGGTTTAAATCTATTAAATTTATAATAATATTTAACAAACAATACATTTTCTTGTAATGGGACACAATTTGACCAGTCCAAATCTGCCCCGCCTGATATGTCTAAATGTGCCCCACAGTCGTTGTATTTCTACATCAATTTTTACTTTCACAACATCCAATCAAGGATAAAGAAACTGGATTATTTACAAGAGAAAAATATTACATTCTTATGAACACAAATCGTGAAAAAAAATACGGAAAGTTGAAAACATCTATGTGCCTGAACAATATACTTAGTGATCTTATCAAGTCCTCGAGCACTAAAAATAGTGTTGTTGTCAATATAAAAAATTACTTTTATGATTTTGAAGAGTTACCAGCAAAGTTACATCTGTTTAACAGGTAAACAAACCTGACAGGAGACAAAGTCAATTTTAGGGACGACATTAATTGGATAAGGGTAGACGAAATTGTAGACGTATTAAAAAAAGGAAGCAGGGTAGTAACAAACGAAGATCACGTCGCACTGACACGAATTGAAGAAAAAAGGGGCAGTATTAGTTCCGAAAAAAGAAGCAACTTGCGCGAGCAGCTTGCTTTTATTAAGGATGAATATAAGTGGTTTAACGAAAATATTATAGGAGATAGTCAAGAAAACACAAAGAAAAATGAGAAAACCTAAATAGTAATTAGTAAATGTAGCATATAATTTTCTTTTACAATGTTCTGTTTTTGAAAATACAATATTTTTTGGTACATAGCCTCTTTTTTCATTTCCCACCTATACTACCAGCGTTTGATTTTTGTTGGATAAAGGAGTTATGTACATTCAAAGTGTATCTTTATCAAGATTATAATGCTTTTTTATAATTTTATAGTTACTTCAAAAAACTACAACCATACATACAAAAACACCCTAATATCATTTTAAATCAGAAACAGCGCAAGAAAGTTCCAGTTAATAAACTTTAAACTCATTTTTCTGGAAATAATGATTTTAGTACATGACACCTATATCCACGTGTCTCTTCAAATATTTTTATTTAATCCTACGCACTTGCCCCACCTTACCCTAAGTGATTTTTCTCGAAAAAAAGAAAGAATGTAAAATCAAGTGGTACACAGGATTATTACCTACCTATTTCGTAATTAATATGCAAATTTTCAAAAATATTGATTGTTCCCTCACTCTATCCCTGTTTCCTCACTCTAAGCCACAATGAGCTAACCTATAAACAGCTGTAATGTAAAGTTGACCAAATGCACATACGATATCTACAGATTGAACGAAATAAATTCGGAACATAGGAATATAATGTATTTCGGCTCAATTCTGCTGTAGGTGGTTGGCCAACAAAATATTGTCAAATAATTATATTATAAAAATCCAATACTTCAGCGGGTTGCTGGATTCTGAACTCATAAAAATTGAAAGCTACACATAAATCTACGATTTATGCTGTCAAACCAGTTATAGTCCAGGAAATGAAGCATTTCAGCTCGCAATTTTTTCGTGCTCCCTGGATTGACTTGAAATTTAACAAAAGGTAGGTAATAGCACAAGGATCAAAATCTATATCGAACCAAAGTGCGCCAAAGCCTAGGGGGTGGTTGCCACCCCATCTCCGGGGTGAAAATTTTTTTTACGTTTTAACTACAGGTTTCGATTAAAAAAGTGATTCTAAACAAAAAATGTGCCATACATTTTTTTTATAAAATGATATTTTTCAAGTTATCCGCGATTGAAAGTAATAACCTTTAGACGAAAAAATCCACGTTTTTAATCGATTTTTCGCGAATAATTCGAAAATGGTGCATTTTATCAAAAAAATTGTAGAGAACAAATTTGTAGCTTTTAAAAAGACAAATACAATTCATTTTTTAAAATGTTTTTGGGATATAATAGGAACCGAAATACGGCCTATCAATGTTCAGCGGTTTTCTTCAAATGCCAAATTGGAAAGAGTCAAAATCAAATATTGGGAAAATGATGCATTTTTGGAAGAAAACTCACAAAACCTTTTTTAAAGAGCATAAATAGACCTATCATAAAAAAGACTCTAGCTCAAAAATTGAGTGAGTTATGATGAAAATAAGGTCAATACCTCATTTTTACGAAAAAATCGAAACAACACCCTAACCTCCTCCATAATTAAAATCGATCTTTACCCTTCTAAAATTCCCTTTGTACATGTATTGTTAATACGTCCAAGAAGTTTGACCCATTTAAAATGCTTTGTGTTAGAAAAAGTACAGCTTAAAGCGAGAAACGATTTACAATTTCATATTTTTTACCCTTCTTTTTTTAAATATGCCCGAAAATACTGAATATATGAAAAAAATACAAATTACCAAATTGTAGCTTTTTTAATGACTAAAATTATCCTTCATTTAGATTTGTTGTACAATGAATATTTGGTGAGATATAGCCGTTTAAAGCATCGATTTACGATCAAGCACCATCTTTTTCGGCCCTTTAAACTCACCCCATTTAAAAACCAAGGGTTCCAAAAAGATTTAATTCACAGATCCTTGTAGCTCTTAAAAACCTCTACAAATCGTTTTTGAAGAAACACTTCATCGTTAAAAATTAAAAGAAATACGTTAAAAAAACCAGTGAATTTTTTTCCGGAAAATTTTATTAGTATAGTACAGTACATTTCGGAGCATAATAATCTACAAAACCGGTATATTAGCTAGTGGGGCGTTATACATTCGAAATTTTAAGCGTTCTTATTTTGAAATCCCATACAACAGAATAAAACATCTGCTCATATGTCTATGGCTTGACAATAAAAATATTAGAGCAACAGATGGGGGATGGTATTCCAAAGATGGTTTGTGTGTTTTGAAAATTATTTTTTGGCAATGCAAAAAAGGATGCGGTGTTTCATGTGGGTGCAGAAAAGTTGGTTTATACTGCAACTCTACTTGTTCTGGGTGCTCAGGTGAAGGGTGCAATAATAGTCCACCAATAATTGAAGATAAGGATGACATAGATCACGATGAAGATGTAATTGATGACGAATAAAATTAATATTATAATAATTATAATATTTGTTTATATGTAATAAACAATTATTGTTTTACCTATAAATGTAAATATTTTCTACTATTTATGTAAATGTATAAGAATATATGGTGCCTTTTATGTTGATAATTTTTTTTGTATTTAATTCTACTTTTTTCAATTTATATCTTATAAATTAGTTTATAAAAACTGCAATGTTGTAAAGGATGATTTTCAAAAGTTGAAAAGTTGCAAAATTTTGGCAAACAATTGATTTTTAAGGGTTGAAAATGTATGAATTTGTATTTTAAAGTATTAAAAAAAACAAAATTTAACTAATCCAAACCAAATTTCACTCATCTTAAGATTTATAATATTATTTTACAATTTTTGAAAATTAGGGGTAGTTTTCATCCCTAAGAACAATCAGGGTTCATCGGCATGACATAAACTATAAAGCAGAGGGTGAGTTGAGCTTAAGTCCAAATTTTTATTCAAATCGTTCCAAGGTGAAATCATTTTCTTCGCATTACTAATTTTTTTATATTAATCTCTAATAAGGGTCGCTTTTTAAGGGTTAAAATATAATGGAACTTTATTCAAAAGCACGAAACTATCATTATTTAATTAATTCAAACCAAATTTTACCCATATTTAGGTTTAATATGTTATTTTATAATTTTTGACAATTACGGGTAGTTTTCACCCCTTAGAACAATCAGGGTTCGTCGACATGACATAAACTATAAAGCAACGGGTGAATTGAGCTTAAATCCAAATTTTTGTCCAAATCGATCCAAGGCGAAATCATTTTTTAGAATTAGTAATTTTTTTACATTAACCTCTAACAAGGGTTGCTTTTAAGGGTTGAAATATGATGGAACTCTATTCAAAAGTATAAAATAATGATTATTTAACTAATTCAAATCAAATCTTACCCATATTCAGGTTTAATATGTTATTTTATAATTTTTGACAATTAGGGGTAGTTTTTACCCCTAAAACCCTTAAGCGCACTTCGGTTCGATATAGATTTTGATCCTTGGGCTATCACCTACCTTCTGTTAAAATTTCAACTGGATACATGCAGGACGAAAAAATTGCGAGGTTTTAAACTTTTTTCGAGATTCATTTCCTGAACTATTATCGTTTCCTTAAACAAACCCGTCTTACGCAAACAACATTGTTGTGAGACAGATAGTTAAACGATATTTTATACAATGTCTATACCCAGGTAATGGATTTATTTTTGTCCAAGTTTTATATTGGTCCACTTTTTCACATGCAGTTCAAACAGACATGTATTAAATTGTATGTTCCGTTTTAATTTGGTTCAATCTGTATGTAGGAGGTGTCGATATATTTGTGCAAATTGATGAGTAATTTCGTCAAATGCTAACGATATAATCAGTACTTTTATATTTTGTATATTTGTTTTAGTTCGATGGAAGTTTGGAACGATTAGCCAAAGAATCTGAT